AATTCTAAAAGCTGACCTAATATGACTCATGCAACAAATATGCACTAAAAGCTTGGCTCCAATTAATCACCGAGTTCAGACTTAGCAACTGTAAATATTAATAATTAAAATAGATGCGGATAAGGAATTAAAGCTTTTGGTTCTTAGTATAACGGCTCGAAGTCTGTGTAAATGCCTGTAACTGAATTAAACTTGATTTTTTTTGCATCATAGCAAAACATAACAACAATGTCGATGATGTGTGGAGTGTAAAAAATACGCGTTGCTAGAAGAACCGGTGCGACCGCATACCGCGCGCGCGCTCGCGGCAAGGCCTCGCCACCACCTGCGCCCGCTCTCGCCTCCGCGCCCGCGCTCGCTCCGCGCTGCTCACACCCACTTTCACATTTAAATACGAGGTATACGTAACTACCACAGGTTACGAACCTAATTACCCCCGAGATATTCACCAAACATGTAGGTAACTGCACATGCACGCACCACGCTGTTGGTGCTCGTTACCTCCGAGCACTCAAGAAATAATTCCTCCTAGTCATTATTGTAGTAAATAAGTTATGAATCAGATACGAGATAACAGAGGGGTTTTGAAGTTATGAGCAATTATCTTAAAATATCTCTCGATATTGAATATACTCTCGGGTGCTGCCGTTGCTGGCTCGAGGAGAACGCCGCACCGCGCGCCGTGCGATCATTACAGGTACTTGAGTTAGCAATTTACTTGTAACTATAAAATATAATTTATGAGATATTAATAGATTGCAGGGCCAGGACAAAAATAGTATCTCGTGTAACATTACTTAATTATCAAGCAGTCAGACGGACACGTTGCCAGCCCGCGTTAGGAATTACTGCGCATGAATCAATTATATTGTCAAGAAGGAACCCAGGAGCTATTATTACGGTAGACTAGCATTTAACTGTTTATTTAGGTTCTGTACTAGTCTTAAATTATTTGTTTGTTTTGGAGTTATGAAGTAGCGCAGCTCAGGGGAAAATGCCTGCAGATATCAATCAGTATTGTTGTTAACCCTCTCGTTAGTCTGCGTACAGACCATAAAGTGATTATTTGATATTTTGATATTTGGACCAATGAATAGTTTATGTGACATATGCTGGTCTGTAACAGCAACAACTTTGTAGACTTATTACGATTGCCTACAGGCTCGGTAATTGAACAACTCTGTAACTACTTAATGTAATGTTTTATTACCAGTTAGCAATGGAACCCTTTTCAAACTGTGAGTAGGTACCTACATAATTCCAATTACCCACAAAACCCGCTTTTCTGAAAGTTGTGACATTAATAAATTTAATAAAAAAAACATTGAAACTATTCACCGAACTATGATTTGCAAGTTATTTGGGTACCTATCTTAAATCTCGTATGCTAATTATAAAACTGGATCACAAGTTTGGTATGTCGCTAATTTATTGACTTTTCGATCGTAGTAGATGCAGAGATAAAGTTTACACACATTTTATGGTGGTCCCATTTAGTGTTACGCAACGCGGAGTAGCGAAGCGGATCGGTCGCACAGTCGCACACTTCCTAAAGCATAATGATGTTAAGTTCATTGGTACGTCTCATATAATCCGCGCGTCGATAAATGGCTTGCCTCATTAAAGTAAGCGGTGCGCGGGAGCTGCGAGATGCTATCGACCGGCTACTGGTTTGTATAAAAAAGCAAGACTAATGGCACCCTCGGGTCAACATGACGCTCGCCGCTACACTCGTGCCCTCTTCAATCTTAACTCTACCGAATATTTACTTTTGTACTGTCGATACAAGAAAAAGCAATTAACCTTCACTGCCTACATTCCATCAGACGTCCAAAACATTGATAAATCATAAAAAAATACCATCCGCCACATTTTTGTCCCGTAGTCGCTACGTGGCACGTGACAAAAAATGTCCATTAAGTAAGCAAATGTATATTTTAATTCAGAATAAGCGATAAATCTCGCGATGGGCTTTCGAATTCCGCGCAAGTCATCCGACGAGGTGAGATCGGCTGGGAAATACCATTATATATCTACGTACGCCGCCATGTTCCTACATACATACTGATGTCGTGTCCACGACAACAGCTGTGCACCGATCGCGTATTTATTATGACTTTTTATTCTTTTATGAAATTCCAAACACTTTAAACTTCTATTCGAGACAGGCACCAGAAATAAAAATCTATGTTGCGGAATGCGGTCGGGGATAAATAATAATGGAATGTAAGGAACAGTTGCGTCGGATTCCTGTGCTCGCTGTGCTTGTCAAGAGGTTCCGCATTGTCAGTTTTTGCAGCGCTCAGACAGGCGGCGCGCGCGCTCCCGGCGGGAGCAGGGCCGGCACGCGCGTGCGCACGCCGCGCCCCGCGCCCAACCAGCACATCACACACTACTCGTAACAACCACCAAATGACTTATACAACTTCATATAAATCATATTAACTCGACTTCGTTACTCATTCGGCTAGTTAACCTAATGTGTCGTGGGAATTATAATAACAAGAAAGCGTATAGACACGACCATGTACAGAATGTCTCTAACTGGTACACAAAATGTTACAAGTTCACAAGTAAATACATGACGTGAAGTTGACATAACAGGTTATGTCCTTCGATGGCATGTGAAACGTCACAGAGTTGCAGTAACAATTAGCACTACTCCAGATACATACATACCACTTTATTCCAGCTCAAGACAAATTAGGTAATAGCGTAGCAAGTCTAAGTGGGAGATAATTAAATATAACTCCTAATTTGTCATTATGTTCTATAAACAAAATCATTATCACAATTTTGTTTAAACATTTAAACTCCGTTACTACTTGAAATAACTCACAGCAAAATTTTAACGGAAAAAGCTGGTTTGAAATTGAGGGGTTAAGGAAACAATATTTGTGTTCTTTCTAATGGATATCAACAAACAAATGTCCAATCAAAAATATACTTTAAACACGCTTTCCTAAAACACAATAAAAGCGCATCACAATACATCCAGAGATTCCAAGAAGCTCGCTAATCAAACGACTAGTTATTGTCTAGGTGTGTGTTAGTCGCACGCGCGGCATTTCATTATTATGCTGTACATGGGCCGTGATAAATTTATTTGGTGACAGTGGCCGCCGTATAGGCATACAAACGTCCCATAAGTAAACCCCGAGAGACAATTACGATCCTCATGTTCACATTTCACACCTAACATTTATTTATTCATTTATCGATAAGTGCGTAACTTGTTAGATGATAGTGCTGTTACCAAGTGAACGATGTTTGTCGACTCGATATTTCTCAAGTAGTGATGTGTGACATCGCTTTCGCAACGTTCATGAAGGCTACGTTATTTTAATTTCTTAATTATATTCCGAGCCTTGTTTTAAAACACACCGCTTGCACCTGGTGTTAATTGATAAACATTATGAATATTATCTATTCAATTATTGTAATTAATTTCTGATGCATCACTTTGTAATAAAACCTTCATTTTTAATTGTAAATTTGTTATAATGCATACAATATTAGGCATACTTCTGAGTCCACCTGGTCGTACTAATCAACGATGGAATCATGTAAATTCAATGGTAATCAGTTTCATCCGTCGTTTTCTCAACGTTTCAAATGTCAAATGATACCGATTCCAATTACAATCCGACTCTAAGATGATTAGGCTGTTGAAATAGGAATATATGAATGCAGATTGAGATAAGTTATTCTAAGGTTAAAACAACTTATTTGAACCCAAGTTCACTTTAACCACAGAATAGTTTACAAATGATACCTACTACGTTACTCACTGGTCGTTAACCTAAAACACGTAACTGACATTTTAATAACGTCAAGTATTATACTTCGATTTATGAGGTCAAACTCGGATCTGTATTAATTGGTTGGTTGTAATTATCCTTATTTACGAGACTATACAATAGTTAAGAACCTATCTGTCATTGTTTTGATTTTATTTAGTTACTTATGACTTAGTGACCCATTTCAGAAAGATGTAACTTTTAAAATTACAAATTTAAGACCTTATCCACAACAGATCTCACCAATAGACTCATCAACAGCCTATAAATTCCCACTGCTGAGCAAAGCCTCTTCTCACACAGAGAAGGTTTGAGCATTAATCGCCACGCTTGCTCATTGCGGGTGGGCAATTACAAAATTATAATAAGAAATTATGCCCAGGTTTCCTCACGATGTTTTCCTTGACCGTTTGTCAGTGGTGTTATAGATAATCTTAGAAAGTACATATAAATCGGAAAAAGTCACATTGGTACTTGCCGTTGGTAGGTTTCGAACCCGCATCCTCATACATGAGAAGAGGGCGTCTTAAACCTTCGGGCCACCACGACGATATAATCACTGAATATTGTAATCTTGTTCCTTAAATAAATAGTATATTCATCTTAAAACAATTCGTATATAAAAATAAATATAGCAGTTGCTACCTAAATGTTCAGTTCAATTAGCTTTTCCAGCACGTGTGTGAACCGACTCATTTAAAGGTATTTGTAAGCACGACCAGACTTCAATCACGATGGAATTTGAATAAATCTTAGGTGGCAAATTGCAAATAGACTAACCTTCAGTTTAATGGTCGTTAGTTTTTCGGACCCTTTGTCTAACGTGGTTAGAATACGTATATTGAATAAAAAATTCGTGTGTTCATAGGCCAATTGACTAAATTTACTTTTTTATTTGATGCCTATAGGATGCTTGGTAGCTTATCATGATTCGTAACTGTAAGAAGATAAAAATTATATAGAAGTTAACGTTAGTTAATGAGTTCATTTTTAGAATTTTTTCTATTTAATATACTTAGGTACTAATTAATATACGAAGATATCTTTTGCTTCCCAGAGGACTACAAGAAGTAGTCTAGTCTAGATATTACAAGAAAAATAACATCAAAACAGCGCTTGTTACTGTTTGCCCAAAATAAAATTTCCTGACGTAAAATCCACGGATAATAGTATAATTGGCTACATTAATTCTAGCCTTACCTTACAAATACAGCGAAAGCAGCTGCTCCAATTCTGTTCAAGCCTCGCGTCCTGCAACTTAACGGGTTCGCCTTCGTTGGAGCACGGCGCACGCTGCCCTTCTGTAATTGAAGCAAAACGTTAATTGTTTATTTACTACTTGTAATTGCTACTAACTTAACTAACTTGACTTGAAACCAAACGTTACTTAGTATTGACTATCGAGTGTATAATATCAGACTTGCGTAATTGTACTTAGGTTCACGTTGTTAAGTAAAATGTGACTTAAGTAATTATAGCTTTACAAAGCTAAGCTCTTATAATGCATGACTGAGGCTTCTGATGACGAAGGCTTCTGAAACGTTTACTTGGTGTTTTTCTTCATAATTAATATTCTAATTATGTCTTAAAAGTAGCCTGAATATCATACTGAATGAGCAGCCAAGTGTTTCAGGGTACAATGTTTAGAGTCAGAACATACAATATTAAAAATAACGATTAGTATTAGTAATCCAGTGGTGATTAATTTGGTCTGAATAAATAAAATGGTGGCGTTACAAAGCGAAAGCCTGGCAAGGATCACGCACGATACCTGTCGAGTGTCGTACGAATGACCACGACACCACGAGCAGTGCGGAGGAGGCTGCGGTTTGAGCAACATGCGTGGGAAACAACTGCCCTATATACAACTGCACCGCACACTGCACTGTACACGCGAACTCAGTCCACAAATTCTATGAACCATTACCACTACTAAAGCATCGAAATGACCGATAACAAAAGTTCCAAAAAGATAACACAAAAATCAAAACAGAGAAAGCGTCAAAACTATTTCATTTTGATAAGCAATCGAACAAATAAAGAATAAGAAAATTCACCATCATTATGTTTACGTCAAGTAAATTGATTATAATTGTAAATAATATTAATAGCAAAAAAGAGAAATATTGATAGAACAGCTTAATCAAATGTTGTCGTCCTTCGAAATGCCAAATTCCAATGTAATTGGAGAGTTATTATATTGGATACATTCGGTATAAAAATACTGTCTACTAAAATACGGAATCGGAAACTACACAACGGTTCTCGAAGATTATTAGATACAACCATCATTCTTGCATATATTATAGTGCAGCGAACATCATCGCATAGCAACACAACATATAACGAACCTAAACAAATCGTTGTAACATAGTAGGTACAAACACGTTTTACGAAACGAAATAGAAGCAGAGTTATATGAGTTATATCATAAAAATATTCCCAACGAGGTTATCACAAATACATTTATCTGTAAAAACATGTCGTTAAACAGCCTAGATTCAGTTGGATCGTACCTATTTAAAGAGAACAAAGTCCCTTCGATGGTGGATGCGTAGAATTTGTGTAAAGATGACATCGACACTGAGACGCAATGTCGATGTCGTGGCCGTCTGATCACATGTTACCTTGATTTAGATCCACGGATCCGCATTCTTATTACGTAGCCATCGGGCGCCACCGGCACCGGTCGGATCAGAGTCGAACTGTCCTGCGGCCGCGTCAATATTTTTGTAGGTAATTAATACATAATGTGTGCTCGTCTACGAAGCAGGATTCCTCTCGAATGTTTGCTCGCAGCTAATATTTTAATTTACTGCTTTTGCAGACAGAATAAATTCCTTTAATCCACGGGTACATTATTGCATTGTTACGAGTACTTCAATTAAATACCAACTTCATTTAGAAACAATGAATCACCCATTCAATTCAATTGTATACAGGCGAGTGGCTATGCTTTATAGATTTTTGTGGACACGTAGTATATTTACATTTCATCATAATATCTCATAGCAACGAGCTATTTTCAAGGCAAACGATTTTATAAATAGTTTGCTGAATTATAAATTAACAAATCAGATAGGTAATTCATATTGTTAGAGAATTATATTAAAGCTATAATGATGATAAATATAATTTAATGCGTGGTAAAATTCTGGTTCACGTGACCAATACGACCACCAGGAATAGGCACATGCGATCACAACACTAATCTTAATCTACATAATTTAAATCTACATACTAACAAAACTGCCTTGACTGCCTTGTTGATACAGAGGTCACCTGTTAATACCCTAGAAGCCATTCCCAGATCAGAAAACAAATTAATTTAATTTCTTTTACAACAGTCCGACTCTGCCATTATTATAGATGTTTAACAATATTGTGCCGCTAAAGTAACTAAAAATAGAATGTAATATAACACCTTTTTTCAAATTATTATGAGGAAAACAACCGCCACATTACCTTATTAACATTGCACAACAAAAATAAAATGTGTGAAAGAGGAATGAAATACGTATGCGCCATTGATGTACGAATATGAGCCCTTGAGTTTATTTAACCTACATACATTCCCGTCACGCATGTCCTTAGCACTCTGCACTCGTATTAGATGAGTGTTGATAACAGCCAGTAGATAAGCGCCTTAATCGTAAATCAATGTCGTTATGCAATGTCACAGTTCGACACTGAACTTGTCCTTTACTGGATGAACTCGTTCTGGTGTCTGGATAATAACTCGATTGATTCGTATCATCAAGAGGCTTAATAGAGATGATATGTGATTCTCGGACTCGTCGCCGGCCCAATTGACAATCAATACACAATATTATTCAAGGTCAAACTATAAATCCTCTTAACAATATAATAGTTCAAGCAATAAAATATCAAACGGATTTTATAGTTTTTACAAATAATTTTGGGTGCGTAGTACTTTCGTAGACCCTTTCGTAGCGTCGTAGCAGAGCTACGAAAATTTCTTTTTTTAAATGTTTGTGAAATTTTGACACAATTTGTTTTAAAATTATTCATGGCACTATATCCGTTTTCTTGCACTAGTTCTCCTTGTGTTGTATATTTAATGAAACACGTGTTAGCTTTTCAAGGCTTTTGTTCGACTGACAATACGTTATAATTAATAACCTGATATTTCAAGCAAAATGTTCCGAAAATCCCGACACCATGTCATTAAGTATGGGAACGTGATAATAACAACAATGTACATTATGTAGTAAATAAACACGAGAAAATTATCGAACACACAAAATGATTTAAGTGTGATATTATTATTTAATTTATTCTCACCGTTACAGACTTGATATATTTTGGCGCGCTCATAATTCTTGAAATTAATGTATTATACGAGCTTAAAGTACTAAAGTAATATTCCATTACCGCTAAATGATATTATTATTCCGGTTAAGTGACAAGAAATTATGCAAATATCGAAAATATACGGTACTTTAAACAGTTTACACGCGATTTAATTGCAAGATTTCAGATATTTAAGGTATACGCGAAATACCCATAAAGCGATTACAAGATATGCACTTAACGACCATTTCAATACCTAATGGCGGCTAGATGAGAATAATTTTTAGAAAGTTGCTCCTGCAGCGATCAACGATAGTAATTCTAAGCCTAGGGATAATATTATCTTAAGCACCTATTCATATAACTCCTGAAACCGACTATCATTATCAATTTGATCTCAATGGCTTCTGAATACAGCCTAATGAAGTGGTATAGGCATATTACGCAAATAATAAACTATTCATGATAAATTACTAGCAATCTTCTACCGTCTCTATATCATTATTTTTCTATTTCGCTTCGATTCCTTTCATTTTGTGGCTCAATTTTTGTTAATAAATCATTACTATGCGATTTGTGGAATTTCGATATCTATCTCTATATATTTCTTGTCTCCAAGTATTATTATAATAATGTATGCTATACGTATGTAATACTAATATACCAATTACGAAATAGATTAATAATTTTTAGGTAAATTAAATTCTTGAACTCTTGTAGTACTACAGATTACTAATTAAACAATAATAATCACCAATCATTTTGGCAAACCTTTAGCCCGTTTGACAAAAGATTCTAACATCGACAAAACTAACTTCTGACCAATAATACATTAATTTTGGAATATGACACCTAATTTGCTGTCAAACGATCTCAGGATTTAGAGGTATAAACGAGGCGTACTTGCGTTCACTATGCACGTCATGATCGAGAGGCGAACGAATGTGTGATCTATGTGGGAACGGTATGGACGATGTTTCACAACGGACCAATTGTCGTGCCTTGTGCAATCGACCTGTCGAACCTTATTGTTAAGCTAAATATATTGTTGCAAACAACGCTTTCTTCCACAGCTACCTAGTAAACAATTAGTCTACTAAGATGCTAGGTTCACTCTGCCTAAGTATAAGATTTAAAACTTGCTTGTACCCCATTATTAATGCTCGCTAATTTTGTGTAGCAACTCATATTGAGATTGGGAGTTCAGTCAATGAATATCGCGTCGAGATTCAACTATCATCTTTATGCACATAGGACAAACTTGGATCAAAAAAAATAGGAACCTTCGAATTTTGAGTAAAATAATTGATTTTAAGTTATATTCTAATTGAAGTTATATTCTTATCTATATTTTCTATATTTTTTATTATTATTATAAAAATCTTATGTAATAGTACTTACTGATGACAGCGGTGGACGCGTATGTCGTGCTAAGTAGCGAGCAGAGGATGATGAGGGCGGCGGCGAGTGCGGCTCGGCCCCGCATGGTCGCGGCTACTCGCGGCGCCGGCGACCAGCGCTCCGCCCGCCGTGCATCACACTCGCGCGCCACGCCACACACGCGGAACACCTGAAACCAAGGAATACAACATTAATAATTTAAAAATACATGATTTTCATAATTCTGACCACTATATTTCATAACTGGACAGAGCAAAACACACGTAGTAACAAAAAGGGCAAGCAGAAGCAGATATCATTATATTTAATGTAACACAACGAATCTGTTGAGATACACTGGGCAGAGAACTAGCGTCCATATTCAGTATTTACGAAAACCAATCCTACTAACATTAGAAGGGCGTAAGTTTGTAAGGATGTATGTGTGTGTATTTGTCTCTCTTTTAAATTAGAATGGGTGAAGGGTTCGAGGTAAAATTTAGAACAGGGTTAGTATATGGTCAGGTATAACACATAGGTCACTTTTTATCCCACGGCAACGCGGGCGAAGCCGCTGGTACGTACAGTTTTAGCACAGATCTGAGTTATTATAGGCTACGTAATTTATTGTCAATTATACTGAATGTTTTTAAAAACCAAAAAATGTATATAGTATGATGATATAATGCTATTTTTTCACTATTAGCAGGTTCAAATTATACTAACTTAAAACAACATGAATTTATAGAAAAAGCATAAAATAAATAACTTTGAAATTATGTAACAGGACGAGTTCCGTCAAACATATCTATCCCACTACAGCTACGACATTCGTAGCAAGCGTAGACCTCGCTTATTTCCAAAAAAGTTTTAATTTACAACGACCTCTTGTTTATTTATGGTATAACTTTGAAAAACTCACAATTTCCACTGTGTAAAACATCCACATTTATGAAACTTCACTTAAAACTTTCGATAAATCATTCGCGAACCCACTTTTAACGAACAAAATCCGAGTTAAAACTACTTTAAAACAATTTATGCAAAAATCAACCGGTACAGTTCACAGCGGACCACGATGAAGTTATTTATTTTTTTAGTTCATTTCTGAGCCACGTCTTTCCGACAAGTTTTTCCAAACGTAAATAACATTTTATTAATACATTACTGTCAATCACCCGATTACTTTTGTCAGATTCTGATACAAACTAAAATTGAAAGAGGTGATGAAGTCATAATTTTCCTTCTATTTTATAAATTTGTTAAATGTTTATTTATTTTTCTTAGTCACAACATTCGTTTGTATCGTGTGTGATACAATATGTTTACACAACGACACACGTATGTGCGTACTACAGTAATAAAGATAGGTAATCGGCACCGTCATACGTGTTACACTAATAAATCCCTAAATATTGTTATACTACATATTATTGATTGCTTAATAAATATCAAGAACAATCCTGTTAGTTATTGCGGTAGTAAATTATGCGGGAACATTATCGTAGAGTTTGGCTGATGATATTTAAATTAATAGTAAATTTGAAGTAGTGTTATTATTATTACATCGACAAAGATTTTGGTTATTAATTCTGCAAACTTTAGTTCTATTGAGGTATAATTTGCTACCTTTACGAAAACACGTAGACATGTCGTAAAACAGCAATCTATGGTAGAAAACAACACCATAACGTGTATATCTCGAGGCATGGTCTAATTATTAATTCAAAGTTAATGAGAGAATGAATGACCCCGCGCATAGTGGACCATCGGTTCTACACTTGATAGAATGCCGGGCTGATGTCCTTAACGCATTTTTTACAACATTCCGCACGTACGTTGACCTCGAGTACTCGGACATATAGCATTTATTCATTAATAATAACACAGTCAAGCAAAAAGTGGTTCACATTAAGTGCGTTTACACGACCATCGAAGCCGGGACCGGGTGCGATCCGGCCACACTCACTACCTCCTTTAACTATATTGACAATTACGTTAGTTCCGGTTTAAGATCCTCCTCAGTAATGCGTTTTAGGCACACTTTATAAAAAAACTTACAAAAACCTAATTGAATCGCTTAACACAGTAAACTTTTTGTAGAATGTAAATAAAACATACTTCGCTTTATTAACACGGAATGAGTTAACGAATCCTAGTTGAGTAAATAAAGCGCACCGTTGGAATTCATTTGAATTATAATTACACAGGCTTTATGTTATGTTATTTATTCTTCAGCTAATTATAAAAGTTTCATTAACAGACGCAAGTCTACATCCGGCGCAGACGGTAGAAAAACTCACGTCGAAGAAAAACTTATGAGTGCAGAAGCATTTATACAATTGAAACTCAGGTGAAGTCTGTTTTCTTAGAAACTAGAATAAGCAGTGATAATATTAATCAGTAGTTTCCGAGAAGTCGAGGAGATCAGTGAACAAAACATCAATGACACAAGCCACAGTCTCCGAGAATCTCCGATAAAAGCCAGTAGCGGCCGCATACGCTACTAGTATTGTTTTATTTTTTGTCTAACATGTCAATCATCCCGTTGTTAATCGAGAAAATACCGATCGGACAATAGAAGCGATAAAAAGTTTAAGTTGATATAAGAATAACAAGCACGTTATTAGCATACTACGCATATAATGTTATCGTAGATGCTTTGTTACTTAATGACTGCTTACAATTTAACTTACATTAATCATAGATGGACACACGATAATGACTTATGTCACCTGTATCTGTGGTGTCTAAGAATTTAAGTAGAAAACGTTTGGTAGTCGCGTCGATATTATATGTTATGGTAGAGGTACTAACTTTCAAATCTGTTGACATTGCTCGGAGTGGTGAGTTGTGAATCCTCACAGAGACGGTCGACCAATCGCACCAGACATGTGGACGCAACTGACTGAAAGGCAGGGAAGCAACAGGTTCGCCGAAAAGCTGCCGAGTGGGCAAGCGCGCGAGCAATCCTGGAAGCCCGTGCTAAGCATTTGATTGAATTCGTTGAGTTCTACGTGGACATTATTCACAATGGAATGCTTCCTCGAATACATTGTGCAAGACGCTTACTGATAAACTGTTGCAAAAAGAAAATCCCACACGATTCGTCAGAACTGATTTATTATAAAATGTAATCAGTATTTATACCAGCCGCCGCTGATCTTGTAAGTTACTTTGTCATTGTGGTTCCAAATCGTTATCAGCATTGAAAATCGGACCCATCCGAAACAAGGATGGGTGTTCTTCATTATAAGTTCGTCTCATGTATTAATTAATACTGTTTATACAAAGAAATCACATAAATAAATTATTATTTTAATTGGACATCACTACAGCCATGTTAAACAGCCCACAATCACAGGATTTACAGTTAATTGCATGTGTAATTCATGAGCTATGTTTTAACGAATAAATATGACTAATTAAACGTTATTTTTCCACGACATTATGCCCCTTTAAGGTAAAAACTCCGACTGCGACATTAACAACGCTTGATCTCGATATCGTAACAACGTAGCACTGACGAGGTACTCAATAGAAGCAATCAAGCCTCAATCTTCCACTTAATAATCAGGTAAACATATTTAACCCCTATAATGTTATACCTAGACGAGGCTATTTACGTAATTTAGTAATATTATATGTCTATCACAAAATTGATTAAGAAGTTCCAATATAGCTTTCCCGCGATGTTGTTCGGGCTTACAAATGTCCACTAATATAGGTAGATGAAGATAGGGTCTTAAAGAGAGATGTATGTTCGCCATCATACGTGACAATCGTGTGGCCAAGTAACTTTATCAACCGCCTGCTGTGACAGCTGCAGACGAACCATATACTTAAGCGCATACAGGTACAAGCATACGAGAACATTTAGAAAGCCGCTTTTAAAATCGGGCGTAGGGCCCGCAAGTGGCAAGCGAGTGTGAAGGCGGGTGCCACCGCAGCGGGCGTCGTGCCGTCACCTACTTTCACGGAGGCAGCAACGGAGGAGCGCCCGGCGGCCGCGCGGGCCGGCGCAGGCGCTGCGGGACCGGCGCGGGCTGCAGGGGGGAGGAGGGAGGCTGCATACGCGCGACAAGGTCGCCGTGAGGCAAACCACTCGTCGACAGAATTTCTTCGGCGCAGAGACACGCGCATACCAGTCCGGGAGCGGAACGCGGTCGCAATAAAAACGCTCGGATATATTTCACGCGTGCGCAACATTATCTCGTCGCTCTCGGCTCCGATTACTTAATGCTCCGCAGCTAACTGTACAAGCGGAGAGAAACAAGATCAGGTTTTTTCTTAGCAGGTTCGATGATCGCAGGGCGACACCTCCAGGGTGCACTTCTCGGCGAAATTTGTTGTATGACAAACACAAACATGCGCACTACATTGCTGAAAGCACTGAATTTCCGGGTGACTAGACTTTGAAAAGTTGCGAGTTGTGAATTATCACATATTTTAATTCTCTGACTAGAACCAATAAAACGAACAACAATTTTCCCTAGGACCACTGAAAAATTCGAGAAAAGAAGTCAGTGCGCCCACTCTTTGAAACTCCTGTTAGTAATCCCCCATGTAGCGGGTCTACAATAATCTCTACAGCTTTTGCTCTGCGCCAGTGTGTCGGTTATTGGACCACACTACAACATTATCTCTAGCTGCCTAAACATAGGGGTAACAACCGATTATGTGAACCGATTACACAATTTAATACAGACAACAGAATCAAATAACTACATGGTGTGTGTATTTCTAAAGACCCGAATCCAATGTAAATAGAATGTTTGCTATAATGAGCCGCCTAATCTCACTTATCTCTTGCAGACATTATTTTTAAACCCTAAAATCCTAATGGAGTAAGCACAGGTGCGTGCACTAACGAACTTAATTTAAAACAATATTGTCAACGTTTGGTAGCCCGGAGCACCCGTGCAAGGGACCAAGCTATTTATATCATTAGTACAACGATTATCATTATGCCACTGTACTGATCGGAGATAAATCGTTATCTCCAGCAAATATTGGAGGTGAATCCGTAATTACCTCTTGTTTGTAGACCCAAGATAAATTCGTTTCGTAGCTACATGCGAATGGGTATTTCCTGAGAACTTATGCATATCATTGTTTTAATGTAATAAAGTGTTTAACTAAAATGAATGAACAGGGATACAGAGTACAAAGGTTGGAATTAAGAAATCTAAATAGTTGTTTCGGTAGCAAATGTTAGATTTCCTTGTGGCGTAAAAACAATGAGTACCGTTGATTGACGAGGCAGCGTCTGGCAGCTAATTGAGTTAACAGCCCAAACACAACATGTCCATTAAGTGGCCCCTACAAACAGTGGCTGGTGTCGAGTGCGCGGCTCGAGACCACATTACTGGCAGGTCATCATCCCGCCGACATTAATCTGATACAATGACAATTACACAGCAGATGCTTTGGGGTGCACAATTGAATCGGATCTAGTTAGTGAGCTCAAAGTGGATACAGCAGTTATTAATTGTGACGTCACTTCGTTTATAGCGACGGTATTGATATACATTATTTTTTCACAATGACATATCACATCTTCCTGCCTTTTGTGCTTTGTATCATGGATTTCTCACTGGAATTCAAAGGGACTGATAGATTCCTCTATCTATAATAATATACACGTGTACCATTGAACCCAAGATAATACGAAACTTATGCATTATCCCCACCTAGCTGTGTATAAGTAGATGCTTACAAGGGGTATGAACCCAAACGAGTTATCCTCACTTGCATAGAATCCGAATACCTCGTAAACTTCGTGTTTTGTTTTTAATACCTTCTCTATACGGCGGTTGAACATGCTATTATTTTCCCGATTGATAAAGATTATTTTTGTTTTTTGGTCCTTTGCGACGCCCAGTAGCTTTTTCGCGAATACATACAATATTAACAGTTTTTTCATGTTAATAGGATAATTAGTACGAATGGTTTATACCAGGAAGTATAACAGGTCTTAAGTAGTTTCTCGCATTGTTGTAGTTTACATAAAACTCCATGTTTAGTGTTGAGTGTACGGCATTCCATTGGCAAGTATCACAAGCACCATTGTTTGCGGTAACGAAACAATAAAATAGAAGAATTTAAGAATCCATTAAAGCTATTAGTACTAAGAGATTAGATGACAATGAGTAATGGTACGTAGAAGTTAACAATTTTATTAGTGTCAACTTGATATTGATTTATGTCGGGTTTTCACTTCGCTTCGCTTTAGCTATGGGAAAAATTAACGAACAATTTGAGCAAGAGATATTTTTATCTTTGCAACTTATTAATAAATGACGTATGCGCTGGTCATTTAAATAATAAGATAAACAATGTGTACCTCCGGTTTTACGCGGAAACTCGGCTTTAAACTTGATTTAACGAAATATTTTTATTGTTATTTTAAAACTTTGTTTTACATATTATAATATTTATGTTGCTACGATACTTTTGACAATTAATTGTGGATTCTAGTAACTTAAGCTCATAGTAGACGCCATCAAATTACAAACATCTTTGTCCTTGAGTTTTTTTCAGCATTTTAGCACTAAATTGCTTAAGAGCCAATTTTTCCAATGCCAGATAAATTTTACCTGAGGAATAACTTTAAATCTTTGACAATTGTTCCATACTAAAATGTGTCAAATGTAAATTTTATTCTACAGATAAGAATAAACTGAAGTTTGAAAAATGATGTTTCTATTCTGTACGAAATCTATATGTTAAGCTAATAACAACTTATTAGACATAATGAAACAAGCCCTAAGTAATTCCGAATAAACTACCTATACGTACGTATATTAAAACGGCATATAAATACAAAGCTTAGTTACCATTATTAGGTACAACAAGTCTACATGTACTAATGAGATAAAATAGTTTTATCTGCACAATCCATGCGCTTTATTTTGAGTTTTATCATTTAATTAATTACACATAATTATATATATTTATGTAAAATACCTATTAAATTATAGTAGTTTTAATCATTACAGAATAAATAAAACATGGAATTATTATTTGTGCTTGTAAATTGTGTTTAGTAAAACATTATCAGGTTATTCGATTTCGTAATTGTCCATGGCATTGCAGGATGTGGAATTATACTTCTCCTGGGAATGCCCCCTGCCCCAGTATTCATAAAATTAGTGATGGAATTACAAGAAACGTCACAGGTTTTGTTCCCGGAAGAGTTAATCAGAAGTGAACATATTCAATGTTACTCTCACTTTTCACCCAATATGTTTTGAACCCCATGACATAGCAAATGAGACTATATTTCCTTATTTTAGACACAATTTCAGATTCTATGCTATTATAGAATTTTCTAAACATTGAAAGAAAAATCCTATAAAAAGTTGAATAAATAACATCTTTCCCAATTTCTTGGTCCCACAAGTCTGAAAGTTATGCATGTATATTCAAGGGTCCTTTATGTTTTAAATTACAGTGGGTGTGGCAGGTGGGGAGGGTTGCTTTAGTCGCCACGCCCTCTCACCTTGTCACGCCTACCTATTGCCTATCACCTGAGATCCACATAGTCACATGTACCTACGTAACATTACCTATACATATGATAAATAGTCCTAAATCATCAGACAATACGAACTAAAACAGCATATGCAAAATTAGATATCACTTTTGTCCTACGCACATAGAGCGTAAATTACATGACAACGGAAAATAAATAAATCGTCATTTAACATTAACAACTCATATAAAAAATTAACACAGAAAATGTATATCACACAAAATTTATATGTAGATATGAACTGTTGTGACAAAATAATAATACATTTTGTCGTCGAAACAACAAACGGCCGTGAACCCGAGTATCCATATAAAGAACTACAATGAAGTTTATTATAAACTGATCTTGAAGAGCAACAAAATGTCAACGCGAACAGATAATTAGCTGGTATAGGCGCATGCGCATATAGTTAACGAATGGAAAATAATCTGGCAGAACAATAGGGTTGAGATACGAGTTGAATTATTAATAGAGTTAATGAGGCGTTCGTCGATAGCGGGGTGAGCGGAGCGACCTCGC